CGGGAGGTGCAGGGGGCACAGGGGGTGACATCCATCACCTCCAGCCGGTCTCCTGTGGGCAAGGGATGGGAAGCAGGAGGCGTGTGCTCCTCGCGCCTCCAAATTAGCAGGAAAAGTTCATAATGAAGCTCTGCAGTCTCTTAGTGGGAAGGAAGGTGATTTATATCCGGTGCTGGAGGCGTCTGAGCCATGCTCCGCCGTTCTGGGATGGCCGCGTGCGGTCACAAGGCACACGGGATGCAAAATGGGTGCGGACGGAGAGCTGGAGAGGGGGCAACGGAGGGGCATGAGCCTGCAGCTGGCACCTGCCCACCCGCGGGGTCCAGGGCCCAGCATGGTGGCACACAAGGAGCTGCCCCAGCTGAGCCAAGTCCTGCAGGACCCGGGGGCTGATCCTTGGTGAACTGAGGGGCTGACTCAGTGGGGAACAAGTCCACATTGTCCCCAAAAAGGAGGCGGCCACCCATGACTCAGCGCATCCCACTGTTACCCTGCCACCCCATGTCCCCCGTGTACCCATGCAACGGCCCCATGGGCCCCAGCTGCCCAGCAGCCAGCCCAGCACCATCCTTACGGATCCCGTAGCAGACCAGGATCCTCCCCCTTCCCAACCAGAGTGCACCCAAGCTGGGGGCACAGCGCCCTGCGTGCCAGCCCCATTTGCTCGCAGGACACGTGGGCACCCTCAGAAGATGCCCAGACCACAGACACCCTCAAAGGCTGCCAGACCCTCGGCCACTTGGCTTTGCTGGGGTTTCTTCTGCCACCTGGTGCCCAAGGCTCCAGCTTCAGGCTCTGTCCCTTTGGCCAGGACTAGGCGAGCAGAGCCTGCGGCCGTGCCCGAGAGCCGGGGGTCAGGGCGAGGAGGTGGGGGGCAGCTTCCTCTGTGCCACTCAGACAAGCCAGGATCAAACCGAGTTGCTCCAACAGGCAGTTGGCCTGGAAGAGTGAGACAGGAGGACCATGGTGAAGCCACGCGGCTGGGGTGCCCCCACCGCCGGGTGGGCACGCGCCCAGGGCACCGCTCCAAGGGGAGCCTCGTGCAGGCGGGTGACCTAGGGTCTTGCGGCACGGCCGCATGATGGTGTGAAATCGCTCCTCCTGGGCCGTGCCAGGCTGCTGGGGATGGGATTGGGGGACACGGCTCCCCTCCCACCCTC